TGTGATGGGATGTGAGTTTAAGTGATGTGATCTTGTCTAGCCACTTGCTTGGGTGGTTGTTTAGAGATAGAGTCAGTTAACTAACTAACTACTAGTTATTTAGTTAGTTAGGAGTTCTAGTTAAAGAGAGGGAAGGTCTTAATCTCGAAAATTAGAAGAGGGATTAATAAGCATTCTTAGTAAAATGTGTTAAGTGATTAAGCACTTATTAGTTAAGTTGGCACTTATCTCCACCAATTCTCTTATCTTAATTCATTTAGACATCATAAAAGTTACATGAAATCACTTTAATTCATGACTCATAACTAGTCATTCACTAGATAATAATACATATATATAAATACATACATGTATACATAGTATAAAATCACAATGTAGTTTTTGTGTATTTGAACTTTAATGTTTATGTTTTATTCTTTTTATTCAAAAACACTTAAATAAATTTTAACTATACCTTATAATAATTCATTTTATATTTTAATTTATTTAAATATAAAATTTATTGAGCAATGTATAATTTCATGACATTTAACCGGTTAACCATATCGTTAAACACGTTTTGTCACTTTGGTTCGTATATTTGTCAAATTTAGATCCTTCACATCTATTAAGCAAATGTTGTACATAGAACCTAACTTAGTTATCAACTAGAGACATGTTGATACAAAAATTAAGTTTGTTGCGTTTAAATGATGTTATATGCTAATTTCACAAACCTGTGATGGTTCATAGTCATACATCATAACGAAATTATCGTTAGTTACTTGTTTTATATTTCACAAGAACTTATCTAAATAAAAGAGGTTAAATTCTTTCAACCATTCTTGATAAAATACTCATATTGTTTAATAATCAAAACATAGCATCGTACGATTGTTCCTATTTTTACCAATTGTTACACATAGAGAGTAAACAAAGACTAAATATCTGACTTACGGTGAGTATGAAAGTTCAATGGATAATAGAATGTAAACACTTAAGTCAAAAAATACATTAATAAGTCTTTGTTGCGCTTGAGGGGATTGCAGATATTCTCTCCAAAAGAAATTTGCAGTGCCAAAAGGTGTTGTAGACAAAAGTTGATTGTGATCTAGAGATCCATTGCGGTTGAGGAGATGGCTTCGGATGACTAAGTTTAAGAGGGTCACTTTCTTGTTTCAATAAATTCTTTATCACTTTTCTGAAAAATCTGCACATTTTTCCATTTAAACTATTTCTTGTTTGACTAAATCTTTTGTTTGTATTCTTATATCATTCTTTTGTCCCATTCTACATAAAAGAAATTTGACGATGGCAATTTGAGCCTAGTATGAAACTTATGACACATCATTATCCCTAGAAGAATGTTGTTGTATGTGAAAAAATCTCTATAAGTCTTTCATCAGTGAGACCATCTACTGAGAACATTGAGTCACTCCCTCACGCTGATTGGCTAGCATTGTCTAAGCTCTCAAAAGTTATAAATCCTGGTCCAAAGGAAAAATATTAATAAAAGGCTTGGGTATTTATTATTATTAAGTTAATCATCTTTAATTGACCCTATCCCTTGAAACTTGCTTGTCGTATGCATCATGTCTTATGTTCTGCTGAAACATTAAGCATAACCCAATGGTTTACCTTGATTGCATAGTCATTAGTGTAAGAGATACTTGTCAAGTCCTTAAATGACAAAGTGTTGTTCATGTTCCTGATTCCTAGTTTGAGGTAGACATGGTATCATTATGAATTAACGGTGAATCTTTGATTCAAGAGTACAACTTACTCTATGATACAGAAGTTTAAACCACTCCTTGTTGATAAGTTAAACTATTAATGATCCATGATGATTTCACCTCAGCACGAATGAAAAAATCCATTCTTGTCCTTACATTCTTCTTTAAAGTTTTTTTATTCAGCCGAGGGACACCTTTAGAAGATGAATAGGATATGAATCAAACCGAAAAACTCGTTAACTTTTCTGGGGGTCAATGGTAATCAAACTTTACCGTAATGTACCATACGCTGGTGAGAGCTTGACAAATCTATGTCGATGGGTGTATCATTGTCCATGATATATTACACACACCTATCCACTCTTGCCATTTTTCTTCTAATAAGAGATATTTATTATTCAACGTATAAAACCACATGCTGATGAGATCTCGAAACACTATTTCAGTGAATGTTAGACTAAACCCATGCAACCAAAAGACATCTCAAACCAATTAGATAATCATCAGTCTTCTCATTGATTGATTACACTGATGCTAATGACATGTATAAAGTATATATCTTATCCAAACAGTAACTTTTTAAATGACATAAAATTTTCATCATTATCTTAGGATACGATATTTTTACGAAGCATATTCTTCTCTCATGATTATATAATGTTACACCTAGAAAATCCAGGGTCAAGATTTTATTCATGTACAAACAATTTCTCTATGTGACCTTGGTGCAATAGATTCTTGTAATTCAAATATGACAATGTTATACGAGTTCATATATATGCATTTTCATAATACACCTTTAGAAGACCAAATAGATGAAATGCATCATACATAAATCAAAAAAATGGACATTGGCTTAAAATTTCTCATCCCAAATAACCCTAGGCCGAAAAACCTTTTATTCGAAAATGCCAAGCCCGAGAACCCATATCCATCCCAAAAACCGAAAACCCTTTGAGGATGGAGGGTGTTTTCGGCAACCCTAGAACCGAAAACCCCTCTCTTGAGCTAATGAAATCGGTTTTTGGATGCATAACACAAGGTTTGACTTATGATAACACCTCATTGCTTTACACCTTTTTAACCACCGAATTCCCACACCTTGCCCCCTAATATACTTCATGCTTCCATGCAAAACCCTTAAGTGACCAACATGTATAGATAAAAGCCATCACCCTCCTTCCTTTAAGAACCCTTCACCGAGAGTGGAGTCACTTCACGCTTGCCATACTTTACACACATTTTCGTGTCTTATATCCTTAGAACACTAACACATTCAAGAAGTTCTTCAAGCTTGTACACAAGGCTAGGCTCGAAACCACTCATCTCTTCCTTCCTACAACCCATGGAAATCACCATGTTGAGCTTCATACCCCCATGTTTTTTTCAATTTTTACATGCTTTTAGGGAGGAATACAAGTCAAAACACGTTTACCCTATGGATATTTGCATGCACCAACTTATTTGTGGAATAATATGTGAATAAAATGTTGAAATTATCATATGTATGTTCATAAAAATCGTGAGTTATAAGGTTTTATAAGCCAATATGTGTTTTTCCATTGGAAATTTGCATGCACTATCTATATTTGTATGAGCATTGGATAATCCTTGTGTAAAAGTAGTTATTATTCACTTATTATCCGAAAACTATGTGGTAAATACTATTATGTTTACTCAAAATTTTTGTTCGGTGTTGACACTTACACAAAAAAAATGCCAAAGACTCATATATATATATATATATATATATATATATATATATATATAAAGTCAAAATATGTTGTCTTTTGGATACCATCATATCTCACTTTTACAAATTAAAGTTGGTATACGTATTTGTATAAAAATGTTGAAGTCTCCATTTAATATTTTTTTTTCTAAAAATCCTGACCTTTATGGTAAAATTGTCAAAAATAAGCTATTTTGTAATACAAGTTTCAATCGGTCAAGTATGACATTACAAATTACAAATTTTTGGTAATTTTTGCTAAATATAGTTTTTCTAGAAAAAGTGGTCGTACTTTTAGTCATCATTATTTTGGTGGGTTAAAACCAAGAATACTATGTTTTAAAAATAGATACTACCACTAGATATGATTATAACTGATTATTTATATAAAGTTATATAAATAGTTTTCCTAAAAAATATACCGGTTAAACTATAAACTGTAGAGTTGTGTGTCACAGCACACATGTCATAAAACACATGCCATAAAACGCATGTCGTAAAATACGTGTCATAAATTATCAATAGTGTAACTATTTCATGATACAAGAAAAAGGGAGTTGTAGTTCACGTAAATCTGCTAATGCTCTAGTGAGACATTCACTTCATAGTACCTACTTAGCGTACACTTTAAGTCCTGCATTATAATCAAAATCTCCTGGAGGGAGAGTGAGATAGTTATGTATAAATCTATACGTGATTGACAACCCCACACTTGACTTGTTCGCTACAACTTAACGGGCCAGTCTAGGGTGACAAATATCTACGAATTCTGATGCTTGAAGAACGTCACACAGACAAAACAATCACATTAAGCATGGTTATAATAACTCATTTAGGGATTAACAATATTATCTTGGTTTACAGGAAGCTCACGCTTCACTAGTTTTATAAAAATATAAAACTACATCTACTTTCTGGTCTTAGGGTTCAAGACTACATTTTTTCATGCATCAGAAAATGTTGGATTTTCTAGAAACATACATCACAAGATACGATGGATATGCATACCTACTCTTTTAGTGTTTGGAATAAGACATATAGCTCCTTTTTGTTGAAAATATCGGATTTTCTGGAAATAGACAAACCATTTTTAAACAAAGCAGTCACAAATCTTTTTATACAAATATACTTATGATCTCACTAACATTCAATGTTGACGCTTTTTAAAATCACTTGTATTCTTAGGGAACCAGTAAGCAGGTACCTAAGTCTTTGAGAACCAGAACGCTACATTTTGAAATTTTTACTTTTCAGTCATGGTTGTGTAATTTTGAACAAATACAGTTTGTAAAATATGTAAGTTTGTATTCTTAAGATATGCCATTTGGGTTGCTATGTATCATTTATATTAAAATTTTATGATACTATACAATGACATCATCTGCCCTCAGACGTTTCTGTCGTCCTGGTTAGCGGGTGTGACATGTAAGAAAGAAGATAATGTTTGGGTATAAATTTCAAATTGACCGCTCTAGGTTAATTTCACAAGCGATTCAAAAGCAATTGCCATTCTCTCAAAAAAGCTCTCAATCGTCATCTTCCTCACAACTTTCACCATGCCAAAATTCTTGTACGAGTTTGCTCCTAGCCTTAACGTCATCAAAGGTCCTCATGATTCTGACACCACCATCATCATTCAATCAACAAATGTGGCATTCTTAGATGATATACCAAAGCAGTTTGTGACTTCTAGAATTGAAGACTTTGTTGAATTTGTCAAAAGTAGTCTACTTCAGTATGGTTTCTGCGACTTTGTGGAACCTTTCTACCCAAAACAAGTAAGCGAGTTCTATTACACATGCTCTGTTGATTCTATTGCTCGAACCAGCTCAAGAACCATTGGAGATAGTCAATATCGGGTTACTATTGATGTGGAAACCATTTGAACTACTCTACGCCTTCCTCTATATGGTAGATACTCTAAAACTATTTCTGAAGATAGCTGCAAGACTGTTCCTGAAAAACTAGGGTATAACTTCAAACTCGAGGCCCTCACTAGTGATCCCTACAGGAACACTCTTTGTCAGTGTTTAAATGCAAGATGTAAATATTTAACAGGGTTGATTGGAAAATGTCTTTGTCACAAAACTGGAAGTTTGGATTCATGTAAATGTCTTTGAAAAAGAATCTTATATGCCATTCTTTACTACAAGAAGATGGATTTGCTAAAATCTTTCTTGATCAACGGATTGATTGTTGTTCTAGAAACAAGAGACCAGTGCATGTTCCATACCCACGCTGGCTTGAGTTGATCTTTTTGCGTGAAGAAGGTTATACTGAAAGTCATGGGATCATCATTCCCGTTGATGATCTGTATATTACTGCTAGAATACGAAAGTGGATTGAGAATCACTATGTGTTCGAATCCTCATACTCTGAAGAGGATGATAACAATGATGATGCTCGTGATGAATTAGGTTATGATAAAGAGAATTCAAAAGCTGATCACCATAAAGAAGTTGGTAAGGTAGAAGACACTGATAAAGATGAAGATAATCCAGCAGCTGATTTAGGAGCTGACTTCACTAAGAATATGAACTCTCCTCCAAGGAAAAACAAGCACATACGTTTTTCATTTACTTCCCCTACTAGTGACACTGAACATCATGGATCAACCACTACCATTGGAGATACTACTGAGCCAATAATCCAGGATGAAACTTCTCCAACGCCATCTCCTTCTCCTCAAGCTGATACAGTTCATCAAACTGAAACGGTTCCTCCTACACCATCACCCATTAATGTTATTGTTCTTCATCAGGGTGACCAAGGAGAATCCAGCTCCAACTTTGAAGCTATTGTGCTTTCCCAACTCTCCTTAATTATGTAGTTGGCTCAATCAATGAATAAAATATTGACTAAAGTTGAAAGGAATATGGCTACAATGAAGTGACTTGTGGCATTAGATGGTGAAGATGATCATTATATGGTTGTTGATGACACTACACCAAACTCTCCAGGTGATAACCCTCTACAATCAACAAAGCCTCCTCCACCATCATATCCTCCTCCAAAAACTCCTTCTCCTCCTCCTAACTCTCTTCCCTAATTTGATGCTGCCAAAAAAAGGGAAGAATTCTCAACAGGGTCCTCAGCCAATGCAAATGGTTATTGCATCTTAGCCTAAGATGACTGAAAGGAGTGAAGCTTAAGCTGACCCTCTAGAGACGATTGATGTTGCTAATACTCCTGATGATCATGTTGCTTCTGATCAACCTATTCCAGATGATGTTCAATATTTTGGTGACCAAATAGAAGCTGATGACTATGAAGGGTTTCATGATCTTGGTTTCATGCAACATGTTGTTGTTTCTGCTATTCCACTAAACGTCATCTATCTTAGTTCCCTTTTTAAGGGGGAGTTTACTCAAGGAACAAAAAATGACATTGATTCTGATGCTGGTGCCCAACTTAATCCAAGAAAAAGAATAGAAAGGCTTTCTTCTCGGCCAGGGGGGGGGGCTGTTAGCTCTGAAGTTGGAAGTTCCTCTGTAGCTCGTGATACTTCATCCCCTCAAAACAAAAGCAAGCTAAATTTTGATCTGAGTGAGTTAGTAGAGACATGGAGCTTACCTATTAATGAATTTAAACATATAATGAAGGAATGCAATGTTGTTATTAGATAGAAGAAAGAATTTAGAAAACAAGAATGCTTGTCTGCCAAACTTGTTCAAGAACTTGTTTTCGCTGACAAAAATGTTACAGCTCAAGGAACTGATGATCAAGTTAAGAATATTTTCAACAACAATGTAGAAAGACAACACATTGTGTCAAATCTTTATGACCAGATTGATAGAAAGAAGTTTTGGAGACATTATGACTTAAAGAATCAAGCCTGATCCTAATATCAAATTATGTTTGCTCGTGACCTAGTCAAATTCGGCTACAACGAGTGGATGCTGACTCTTGAAATCATCAACAATCATATATGTGTTCATTATCAAGAAGTGAAGTTGGCAATCCAGCAACTTCTCAATGAAGTGAAGAAACTAAACCTGGTACCATCCGCTGGTTTATCAGTGAGTTCATCTAGACCAGCCTTATCAGGAAGAACAGGCACTCCCCGACAGTCCAAAAATACCAAGTTCCTTCTTCCTTATGGTACCTAATACATCAATAATGCATTACCACCTAGTGTTGAACATGTTCAATACATGTTTATTCCAAAGCCATAGCACATGTTTTTCTATCTCGACAATTAAAATCAGATCTGCTTTCAACGCACTAACTACCTTCTTTCTGCTCCCACCGAGCACTTGTTTCATCTTCTCTTTGAAAGGCTAGGTCACTATAACATAGAGAGAGTATATCACGTGCTGATATCAGTAGAGTTGAATAGAAGGCTGGATGAGTTGAAACTTGATCAATTTAGATGGGTAAATACTGAAATCTTGAAAGAAGTTGACAGGTTCTACAATGGCTCTTCTGATGACTTTGTGGAAGAAGGTTAGTTTTTACATCATCAGATAGGGAGATTGTAAAGTCACATCTTATGATCTGATGAGTCAAACATATAACATGTAAACCCATCATCGTTTATGAGTCAACAACGCTAGCGCCAACTTAAAAAGTTAAATAGTGTCATCTTCTAGTTGTTCTAATGTAATCTTTTTTATATTAAGCAGTTATTATAATATATATAGATTAGATCAGATCTTGTATCATGATAAGATCAGTTCTTAGTGTACATTAGATACAATCATGTCAATCAAGGGACATACTTGTATAGATTAGTATATATACTACATTAGGGCAAACCCTAATGTAGTGAGGTCGAGTGGTTATATTTGTTGCTTTATTTCAATTGTCTTTGTGGCAAACCACGTCTTCTTGGTGAAGACAAAACCTCTTTTCTTGGTGAAAGGAACCGTTGGATAACTTTTGTGTTATTTACTTTCTATTGATTATTTCATTTAGATTAGTTTTATGTTTCTTATTCATACTTGAAGTATATCCGATCATAATACAATCCTTCATCAAATATTATGGAAATTGGAACACCATGTCGAGTGACAATCTCGTGCATATATACATCAGATAATTTCTCGGCCGAAGAGCTCTTCTGAATAACCACTCTTGGTCAGACGTTCTGTTATAACCCACATCGTATCATATCACTTAGTCGTTCGTGGTAACTTGGTGTTGAAGTCAATGGTGATCTGTTGCCATTTCCACATGGGAACCTCCAATGGATGGATCTTTCCATGCAGCCTCTGATGCTCGAACTTGAGCATCAAACATGTAAACTACCACTCAGCATACCAGACTATCTCCCTCTTCATACACGACCACTAGTAACTAAGTCGCAAATCTTGATACATCTTGGTGGATCTAGGGTGTATCGAAAATATGGACTTATTTAACTCCTCTAGCATACTCGTTCTAATCTCGCCAAAATCTGGTATCTAAACCCAACCGCACTGGGTCAATAATCCATGGTTATCGGTAGAAAACTTGGTGATCCCATCCCTGATTTGCTCCTGCTTGCAATTCTCCTTCTTGACTCCCTCGGCCTGAGCTACCCTAATCAAATCCAGAAGTGGCGAATCAATCGAAATAGTCATACATAACCTCCTAACAAAAGAGCTAGCCGACTTGCGGCTCAAAGTATTAGCAACCACATTCAATTTCCCCAAGTGGTACAGAATCTCGCAGTCATAATCCTTGACCATGTCAAGCCACCTACGATGTCCGATGTACAGATTCGGCTGATTCATGAGATATCTCAAACTCTTGTGATCCATGTAGAAGATACAACGGACCTCATACAGAGAATGCTGCTAAATCTTGAGGGCAAGCACCATTATCCCAAACTCTAGATAATGCATAGGTTACAGCACCTCGTTCGACTTCCTTGCCGAGAAGCATATGTGATAACCCTTCCTCGTTGTATAAGAACTACCCACATACCAATGGTGGATGCATCAAAATATGCAAAAAAATCCTCAACACTCTAAGGGAGGGTCAACACTAGGGCCTCACATAACTTTTGTCTCATTGTCTTGAATACAACCTGTTGCTGAGGCCCCTAGTGGAAATTCACGCACTTCCTTGTTAGACAAGTGAGGGGTACAACAACCTTATAGATATCCTAAATAAATCTCCAATACTAACCTGCTAAACCCAGAATAGTATTGATCTCCGAGGGAGACTTCTGGATCTCCCACTACATAACAACCTCAATCTTGGTCGAGTCGACCAAGATCCTGTCTGGTTAATGATGTGTCCCACGAACTAGACCTGCGGTAACCAAAACTCACACATTGAGAACATAGTGTATAGTCGTTCCTACCTCAAAGCCCCCAGAAGCTCTCGAAGGTGCTCCTCATGTTGCTCCTTGGTCTTGGAATAGACCAGGATATCATCAAGAAAAACAATGACTGATTGATCGAGCATCGATCTGTATACCGGATTCATCAAATCCATAAATGATGCAAGTTCAATCGTAAGCCCAAATGACATCACCACAAACTCAGAATGACCATAATCAGTCTGAAACATTGTCTTCTCCATGTGCTCTTCTCTAACCCACATCTAATGATACTCTGACCTCAAATCCATCTTAAAGAAACAAGATGCACCCTGCAGATGATCAAAAAGATCATTAATCTGTGGAAGTGGGTAACGTTTCTAAACTGTTAACTTGTTTATCTCTCGGTAATCAATACACATGCAGTGAGACCCATCCTTCTTCTTTTACACAAAAAAGTTCGATGCTCCCCATGGAGAACTGATCGGTCTAATAAACTACTTGCCCAATAGCTCTCGAATTTGGGAGGAAAACTCTTTCATCTTTGGTAGTTCATAGTAGTACGACGCCATAGAAATCAGGGCCGCATATACTGAACTCAACCTGCTTCTTAGGAGGCACACTAGGTAATTCCTCCGGGAACACATCTGGGAACTCTATGACTACTGGTACTTCAAAAACCGAACATCCATCCCGAATCGAGTGTCAACCACATACACGAGGTAACCGTACACCCATGCTACAAATACTGTCGAGCCCTGGCAGTAAAACAAAAGGCTTATCCAACCCTAGTACCCTCTCCATAAATAATTCATTCTCCCTCACTTTGGGTTCGAACTACCACCCACTAACCTTTAGAATAAATCATCGCACCAAACATGCTCAGCCAGGCCATCCCTACTATCACACATACATCCCTCATAGGGATATGTATCAAATCGATCGGGTAACACACCCCAAAGATCTCCAAAACGTAATCCTTTAAAACACTTGAAGCGGAAACCCCATGCTTATTGGCAATGGAAACTCGCAATGGGCACTCCAAATATCAAAGATTCATGTCCAAACTCCTACTAAAGTACTGAGACACAAAGTACCGACTCGCAGCCAAGTAAAAAAGCATAAGAGGAGGAATTCACTAAGAAGGTACCTAGCAGAATCATACACATAAGCATACCATAAAATAATTTTTAATATAATAATAAATTAAAACATACCATTAATGACTTCTGACACCGCCCTGCCATGGCGTCCATCGATGATCGTCAAAGTAGTCGGGGATGGAGTCTGCAAAGGCCTGGCAAAAAGAAATGGACAGCTGGCATTCACATGGCGAACCAGCTCACAGTGGTAACAAATCCTGGTGCTCACTAACGGGGCCTGCTGATGATAATCCTTAGCAATATGGACATCCCTGCCACATTTGGGGCACCTAAAAGATAATCAAGAAGCACCCTTACAAGCCTTGCCATATTTTCCACAAGTACAACCCATATACCCCCCAGACCGTGAATCAACGGGATTGAACCACTTCCCTGCAAGCTGTGACTAAATGTGAGCCTGACTCCATTCCCTCACCTAAGACTTGATCTCAATCTTGAGCATGCTTAAGTATCACGTCATCTGGGCCTGCTCTGAAGCAACAAACTCAGGAAAGAATAAATCCCTCTTAGTGAACATCTTCATTATCTCCATCATAGTTTTCGTCGTCTGTCTTAAATGCAGGTACTCATGAACCAATCTCACCCTCTCCACAATGGGAACCTACCTCGTGTGGAACATCTCTGAGAATTTCTCCTAGGTAACAACAGTCCTTTACGTAGGAGTATAGGAATCGGTCACCAGGTTCCACTAGTCCTTTGCACCCAATCAAAGGAGGTTCAGTATGCACCTGACCTTCCAATCCTTTGTATAGGAGCTGGTGAAGAAATAGCCCTCCACATTCGAAATCCATCTAATAGCCATAATCGGGTACTTGAACCTGTCGAACTATGGGGGATTCTTGTTCTTTAAGTCCCAATACTGGAATGAACATCCTCCTCTACCTTTTGCAACAGTGATGTCTACGATCGCTAATTCAATATCAGTCTCAGTGAGGGAAGTATAGCAATCATCGAACAAATCAATCATAATGGTCTTGATAGACCCAAACATCTTTGGAAGAGAACTCCAGACAACAATAGCCACTTTAATAGAAATAAACTCCTGTATCTGATCATTAGTCAAGCTCGGCCATTTCCTGGCCACCCTTTGCAAATCCAAAACCAGATCATCTTGTGAACACCATACTGAAAATGAAAAACAAATATACAACCATCATAAGGAGGCTAAACCCTTGAGGTTTATGACTTCCTTGTGATGTGTATGGGTCCTATGATTTCAGTACTACGGGCCCATACTACCTTCCACACCTACCTTTATTTGTCTCAATGGATCATCACAAACTACCCGAAAACAAACCCAAAACTAGAATATACATACATCCTATACTCACTCATGCGAGAGTGGCTAATCATTCCTCATTGGATAAAATCCTCACATATTCACTCATGAAACTTCCACCAACCCTACATCCGCTCATGCATGCTAATCATACATAACGTTGGATTCCATAGATAGTCGAATACTTGAGTCTTCCCTAAGCCCACAACCAAACAAGGAAGAAGAAATAAGGCTCAACCGAACATTCTAAGGCTATAGAATCTTAGCTATGTACAACTATGATGCATACACTAAGCAAATATAATAATGATGTCAATTTCATCTAATATATAAGAAGTCTCCTAGGTTATCAGGAATGATATATCAGGAAATTCTACCATGCAATTCCTAAAGATCCTTAGCCTCTCACTAGCATCTAGGTCTATCATAATCATCATAAACAAATAATAGTGTTAGTAATTTGGGGTATACTTTCTTGCTCTAGCTCTTCGTACACATCTCATCCCCCCTTGGTTACTTTTGAAAACAATTTTTTTTGCAAACCATTTTTGCAAAATCATTTTTAAAATTCTAATCAATCCTTAGTGTGAGTCTAGATTCACATGAATGATCATCCAATTCTCTCAAACTAAGGCTCTGATACTAACTTGTAACAATCCAAAAATCAAGGTAAAATTTTCATTTTTCAAAATCAACCCACAAACCACAAATGTTTACTAAACTTAGTTTCCAAAAGTAAAAATCGCAAATCAAAGTATC